CCACTAATTTCAAATAATATGTCTGATACACCATCTGTTTGTCTAGTTTCAGTCACTGAAATATCTACCAGTCCAGTTTCAGTTAACACACCCACTTTTGAACTGTCAGTCTATCCCATATCAACCCATGAGTCTGTTTGTGAACTGTCTTCCTGTCTAGCTTCAGTCAGTGAGCCTGTTTTTGAACTGTCTGTCCATCCAGTTTCAGTCAGTGATCCTGTTTATTTACTGTCAACCCAACCAGTCTTTGTTAATGCACCCAATCTTGAATGGTCTGTCTGTCCAGCCACTCTCAAGGAGACCAACACGGAACTTTCAGCCCTGTCCCCTTTGCTCCTTCCTGGCTTCCTGCTTCGTCGGTTTCGCTTGGGTGCCGTACTCTGCTGGCTCTGCTTCAGTCCCCGGTCTCTCCACTTCCACGAGGAACTGGCCCTCCGTCCCTCCCCCTGTTCTGCCTCCGCTCCACCACCCTCTACCAATTACACACACAGCTACATCCAATGAGACATGCTTTATGGACTTCCCCTTCCATGGACTTCCTCTCTCTCACTGCCAAGTAATGTTCAGCATTTATCGCTCACCTAGGGATAGCTACTTTATGGAGCCCTTCCAAGTTCATGAATCTAGCTTTGTTCATAGTCTGTTTTCCCGTGTCTTGATCCTAGCCTGTTATCTCGTCCTGTCTGATTTCTGCCTGTCCTGAAGTTTATAGCCTGTCTTGGATTTACTCTTTGCCTTGCTGATTCGGACTGTGTTTGCCCCTCGATTGAATTATTGCTTGTTTTGGATTCCTCTTTTGTCTTGCCCTCTACATATGTTTGCTGGTGTCCGACTCTTGCCGTTGTTGACATGCCTGTAAATAAAAGCTTGCATATGGATCCGCATGCCTCTCGTCTCATCTGCTCCATTACACACACACACACACACACACACACACACACAAACACACCCCACATTCCTACTGCTGTTTCCAAATGCCAGAAATTAAGCATATCTAAAATTAAGCACACTAATATTATTATTGTTGTTGTAGATTGTCTGGCTGTTTGGTGAAAAAGGAAGGTTGTGCTGCTTTGGCATCAGCTCTGAGTTCAAACCTTTCACACCTGAGAGAGCTGGACCTGAGTAACAATCATCTGCAGGATTCAGGAGGAAAGCTGCTCGCTGCTGGACTGAAGAGTCCAAATTGTCAACTCAACATACTCGGGTTTGACTTTCACAATGATTAATTTTGTGATTTTAATAATTACATACGCCCTGTCAAGCAAGTTTAAGAGCAAAACATTTTGGGAAACTGTTCAGTTTTTCCCTTCATTAGCCTACTACAAATCTACCTGCTGTCTACTGTTGGATAGAAAAGTTTTAGGCAGAAAGTGAAATTGTTTATATTCTGCACTGTGTTATTATATATACAGGTGCATCTCAATAAATTAGAATGTCGTGGAAAAGCACCAAAAGTTGGTTAAATGACCATGGTGTTGACGTGCTTGACTGGCCAGCAAACTCACCAGACCTGAACCCCATAGAGCATCTATGGGGTATTGTCAAGAGGAAAATGAGAAACAAGAGACCAAAAAATGCAGATGAGCTGAAGGCCACTGTCAAAGAAACCTGGGCTTCCATACCACCTCAGCAGTGCCACAAACTGATCACCTACATGCCACGCCGAATTGAGGCAGTAATTAAAGCAAAAGGAGCCCCTACCAAGTATTGAGTACATGTACAATAAATGAGCATACTTTCCATAAGGCCAACAATTCACTAAAAAATTTTTTTATTATTGGTCTTAAGTATTCTAATTTGTTGAGATAGTGAATTGGTGGGTTGTTGTTAAATGTGAGCCAAAATCTTCACAGTTAAAAGAACCAAAGACTTAAACTACTTCAGTCTGTGTGTACTTAATTTATTTAATACACGAGTTTCACAATTTGAGTTGAATTACTGAAATAAATGAACTTTTCCATGACATTCTAGTTTATTGAGATGCACCTGTGTGTGTATATATATATATATATATATATATAACTTAAGGATTGTTCTCTCAGCCCTGTCTTTAAAATATTCCTGACCAAACCTACATTAACCACTGTTGGCTATCTAGCAACAAGCTAGCAGTTGCTAGAAACATGTTAAAACATGTTAGTAAAATGTTAAATCATGCAACAACACGCTAGCGATGTGTTATGCTAGAAACACATTTAAACGTAGCAAAGGGCTATATCATTCTAGAAGCATGCTATCAACGTATTAAATCATGCTAGCAACATATGAAATCATCAGAATCTTCAGACAATCACACTGTTAACAGAAATCTCAAGCCAGTTAATCCATTAAAAAATTAATTTGAGTAAATGTCATTCAGTGAATTGTTCAGAGCAGTTCCTGAGTAAATTCCTTCATATCATAACATAGACTTCAGCATCCCACAATATATATATATATATATATATATGCTGTCAATCAATAAAAATAAAACTGATTAAACACATGTACATTATTATTGTTGTTGTAGATTATCTGGCTGTTTGGTGAAAGAGGAAGGTTGTGCTGCTTTGGCATCAGCTCTGAGTTCAAACCTTTCACACCTGAGAGAGCTGGACCTGAGTAACAATCATCTGCAGGATTCAGGAGTAAAGCTGCTCGCTGCTGGACTGAAGAGTCCAAATCAACTCAACATACTGAGGTTTGACTTTCACAATGATTAATCTTGTGATTTTAATAATTACAGACACCCTGTCAAGCAAGTTTATGAGGAAAATACTTTGGGAAACTGTTCTGTTTTCCCCTTCATTAGCCTACTACAAATCTACCTGCTGTCTACAGTTGGATCCAAAAGTTTTAGGCAAAAAGTGAATATATAATATATATATATTTTTTTTTTATCTATCTATCTAGCTATCGAGCTATCTATCTATCTGACTTCTCTAAGCCCTGTTGGCTATCTAGCAACATGCTATCAGTTGCTAGAAACATGTTAACATTGTGTTAACTTGTGCTAGCAATTTGTTAAAACATGTTAGCAACGATGTGTTATGTAACGCTAGAAACACATTAAAACGTAGCAAAGGGCTATATCATTCTAGAAGCATGCTATCAAATCATGCTAGCAACATATGAAATCATCAGAATCTTCAGAAAATCACACTGTTAACAGAAATCTCAAGCCAGTTAATTTATTGTCAAATTAATTTGAGTAAACGTATGTATGTGTGTGTGTGTGTATATATATATACAGTATATATATATATATGCGCTGTCAATTGTGTTTTTTTTTTAATCTTGCTTTTATTTAAATTTTAACTCACTTTTGGGTATATATTTGTCCCCAAAATAAGGTTAACTAGGTGCACACAGACACACACCACATTCCTACTGCTGTTTCCAAATGCCAGAAATAAGATCTAAAGCATCTCTAAAATTAAGCACACTAACATTATTATTGTTGTTGTTGTAGATTGTCTGGCTGTTTTGTGAAAGAGGAAGGTTGTGCTGCTTTGGCATCAGCTCTGAGTTCAAACCTTTCACACCTGAGAGAGCTGGACCTGAGTAACAATCATCTGCAGGATTCAGGAGTAAAGCTGCTCGCTGCTGGACTGAAGAGTCCAAATCAACTCAACATACTGAGGTTCGTGATTAATATTGATTTTAGCCTACTACCTGCTGTCTACAGTTGGATCCAAAAGTTTTAGGCAAAAAGTGAAAATGTTTATATTCTGCACTGTTTTACTGTTTTATTATATATATATATATATCTAGCTATCTATCTATCTGACTTCTCTAAGCCCTGTTGGCTATCTAGCAACATGCTATCAGTTGCTAGAAACATGTTAGCATTGTGTTAACTCGTGCTAGCAATTTGTTAAAACATGTTAGCAACGATGTGTTATGTAACGCTAGAAACACATTAAAACGTAGCAAAGGGCTATATCATTCTAGAAGCATGCTATCAAATCATGCTAGCAACATATGAAATCATCAGAATCTTCAGAAAATCACACTGTTAACAGAAATCTCAAGCCAGTTAATTTATTGTCAAATTAATTTGAGTAAACGTATGTATGTGTGTGTGTGTGTATATATATATACAGTATATATATATATATGCGCTGTCAATTGTGTTTTTTTTTTAATCTTGCTTTTATTTAAATTTTAACTCACTTTTGGGTATATATTTGTCCCCAAAATAAGGTTAAGTAGGTGCACACAGACACACACCACATTCCTACTGCTGTTTCCAAATGCCAGAAATAAGATCTAAAGCATCTCTAAAATTAAGCACACTAACATTATTATTGTTGTTGTAGATTATCTGGCTGTTTGGTGAAAGAGGAAGGTTGTGCTGCTCTGGCATCAGCTCTGAGTTCAAACCTTTCACACCTGAGAGAGCTGGACCTGAGTAACAATCATCTGCAGGATTCAGGAGTAAAGCTGCTCGCTGCTGGACTGAAGAGTCCAAATCAACTCAACATACTGAGGTTCGACTTTCACAATGATTAATCTTGTGATTTTAATAATTACAGACACCCTGTCAAGCAAGTTTATGAAGAAAATATTTTGGGAAACTGTTCTGTTTTTCCCTTCATTAGCCTACTACAAATCTACCTGCTGTCTACAGTTGGATCCAAAAGTTTTAGGCAAAAAGTGAAAATGTTTATATTCTGCACTGTTTTATTATATATATATATATATATATATATCTAGCTATCTATCTATCTGACTTCTCTAAGCCCTGTTGGCTATCTAGCAACATGCTATCAGTTGCTAGAAACATGTTAACATTGTGTTAACTTGTGCTAGCAATTTGTTAAAACATGTTAGCAACGATGTGTTATGTAACGTTGGAAACACATTAAAACGTAGCAAAGGGCTATATCATTCTAGAAGCATGCTATCAAATCATGCTAGCAACATATGAAATCATCAGAATCTTCAGAAAATCACACTGTTAACAGAAATCTCAAGCCAGTTAATTTATTGTCAAATTAATTTGAGTAAACGTATGTATGTGTGTGTGTGTGTATATATATATACAGTATATATATATATATGCGCTGTCAATTGTGTTTTTTTTTTAATCTTGCTTTTATTTAAATTTTAACTCACTTTTGGGTATATATTTGTCCCCAAAATAAGGTTAAGTAGGTGCACACAGACACACACCACATTCCTACTGCTGTTTCCAAATGCCAGAAATAAGATCTAAAGCATCTCTAAAATTAAGCACACTAACATTATTATTGTTGTTGTAGATTATCTGGCTGTTTGGTGAAAGAGGAAGGTTGTGCTGCTCTGGCATCAGCTCTGAGTTCAAACCTTTCACACCTGAGAGAGCTGGACCTGAGTAACAATCATCTGCAGGATTCAGGAGTAAAGCTGCTCGCTGCTGGACTGAAGAGTCCAAATCAACTCAACATACTGAGGTTTGACTTTCACAATGATTAATCTTGTGATTTTAATAATTACAGACACCCTGTCAAGCAAGTTTATGAGGAAAATACTTTGGGAAACTGTTCTGTTTTCCCCTTCATTAGCCTACTACAAATCTACCTGCTGTCTACAGTTGGATCCAAAAGTTTTAGGCAAAAAGTGAATATATAATATATATATATTTTTTTTTTATCTATCTATCTAGCTATCGAGCTATCTATCTATCTGACTTCTCTAAGCCCTGTTGGCTATCTAGCAACATGCTATCAGTTGCTAGAAACATGTTAACATTGTGTTAACTTGTGCTAGCAATTTGTTAAAACATGTTAGCAACGATGTGTTATGTAACGTTGGAAACACATTAAAACGTAGCAAAGGGCTATATCATTCTAGAAGCATGCTATCAAATCATGCTAGCAACATATGAAATCATCAGAATCTTCAGAAAATCACACTGTTAACAGAAATCTCAAGCCAGTTAATTTATTGTCAAATTAATTTGAGTAAACGTATGTATGTGTGTGTGTGTATATATATATACAGTATATATATATATATATATATATATATATATATA